GCTACTACTATGGGATATCATAGCGGACGGAAACGGGAAATGGCGGACCGACTACACCCCGATATTTAGGGCAACCTTTGATCTAGCCACTTGTTATGAGAAGATGGGCAAATGGGAGCAAGCGGAGCGCATGTACGTGGACACCCTAGATAGAGCGACGGAACGTCATGGGCGCCGTGACGCAATCGTGCTGGAAGTTCTCACAAATTTGGGCGGTATGTATGTCAATTTGGAGGAGTACACAAAGGCTGAGCCGCTGCTCCTGGAATGCTTGAAGTGGAACCGCCAGAAGTTTGGAGATGACCATCCGGCCACAGTCGGTAGCATCAAGGATTTGTCGGTCCTATATATCAAAATGGGTGAATGGGATAAGGCCCAATCCTATCTACTTCGAGCCGTCCACCTGTACGAACAGCTCGGGTACGAACTTGACAATTACTCACAATTGGTAGATTTGCTGGGTGAGGCCCAAAAGCTGAAGCTACAATCGGAGCAACAACAACAAACGATGAAGCTGCAGTCCGAACAACTTACGCAGCTGCAGGAAACGCTCGACAAACAACGGAATCAAGCGGTGGCCCAGCTGGAAAACGCTATCGCCCAAAGCACGTCCACAACAGCATTAGGGTTGGTGAGAGCTCAGATAGGGACTGGAGACGCATCGGCGATATTCCTTCCATCACAACGGGAACATTTGTTGAAGCAAATCGCAGATGCACAAACAGAGCTAACTCAGCGGAACTCGGAATTCGCTAGTTTACCATCTGAGGGACCGGAACCGAAAAGGGAGGATTCGGCGCAGTGCTGAATCAAGCGATCGGTTTGGCTTGGCTGGTAAAGCACAAGGGGTGACGGGAAGAAGTTTGTGTAGTGTGGGGCGAACGATTTTTGTTGCACATTTATACCTCTCCGGGAGCTGACGTCGAGGGATATGATGACTTGGAGATTGGCGAGGGTCCAGAGGATGCGTGAATCCATTGACGTGCGCCCGTGGCAGGAACAAGGTGGATGGCAGAGGGGAGAGCAGGAGTACACGGAGCGAAGGGATGAGGGAAGGGCGCAGAGCGGTACGAACGCTGATATTGGAACGGTCCCTAACTTGAGGATGATTCTGGAGACATGTTTTGAACAGAAAATGGGGTTCAAGGGGGGCTATCGATGTGACGTATGCGACAACCGAAGTGCGCGCAGCATTGGTCGATGGTGGACGTACGGCATTTAATTTGGATGATTACTAGGAAGTTTGAACGGACACATCAAATATGGATCAATATGGGAACGCTCAAGCAACCTGTAGGTCAGGCAATCTGTTTTAGAATTGATTCGCAGTGATTTTTCGAACTCAATGTTTCCCACATCAGAATAGCAAATGTTACCCCACATTATTGCCCCACCCTATTATTCTCTTACACCTGTTCCCAATCCCAAACATCTACTTGCCCATTGCGTTGTCCATCGCAATCCAATGACTTGCAAGAGCTTCCGAGTCTATGCATATCTGCATCAGAGAAAGATTGCGCATTTGAATATGGTAAGAGTTGGAAGTGAATCGGCTTTGCAATGTTGGCTCTAACCAAAAATCTATAGTCTTGACCATCATCGAACATGGCCTTATCTGCGTAACGCACCCACAAACCATCACGCCCCCCATCTCATTCAACCTCCTGAAATATTCCAGAAATCGACTCCAGCCAGGGAATGTGATCTTCGATACTGCAGTAAAATGCAAGGACTCGTCACGCGACGGGTGCACGAGTTGGGGAATGTGGCGCCGGGACGACTGGTCGGATGTGCTTCCACAGATGAGAAGGGGGGAGCTTATGGGTTATCAAGGCGGGAACTGGCGGGATTAGGGATGGGATCCCTAAAGTGGAAGGGGGGCAACTGTTGTAGTTGGGGGGAGACTGGCATCAGGGAAAGGAGGAGGAGAAAAGGGTCGTACTGTACATAGTGTGTCGAAGGTTGCTGAATAGATTTGCACTCGCTTTTGCAAACGCCCAGCGGGAACATCTCAAGTCATGGGCGCCATCAAGAAGTACATTGGGAAATTCTATTTTATAAAGCCGGGGTAATGTTTACTACATATATCTACCTACATCTTTGCAAACATATCTCTTCTATCACTACCATCCCAACCCCTCTACTGCTCCTTCTCCTGCTCCTTCGCCTCAATGACCTCCTTAACAGCCTCCTTCACCACTTCCTTCACCTCCGCAGCATTCAACTCAATCGCCGCGGGTTCCACAAGGTCAACCTTAACAGGCTCCTTCTTCTCATACTTAAAGCGCTTCAAGAGACGTTCAATCCCCTCCATGCCACGAATGAGTTCTTCCATGGGAGGACCGAAGGAAAGACGGACGTGGTGGTGGTAGGGAGAGGCAAAGAGTTCGCGGCGGTGGCCGGGATTGATGTCGAAGAAGATGCCCTGATGGGTGGAAGGAGATGTGAGTCATATTAGACGTATGGAGGGCTATCTTGAGGGGGAGGTTTACTTACAGGGACGACGATGACGCGTTCCTCTAGCAGTTCTTCGAAGAAGGTGAGACCGTTGTTGATTGGCTAACAGCATGAAGGAAAAGCACATATGTCAAACGAATGAGCGATTCAGCGAAGGTGCTTAGTCGCCGAACGGAACATCCCTATCTATCAATCGCTGCTCACCTCCGGTAAAACCGTCAAATCCAACCAAATATAAAACGTCGCCGTCGGCGGACACGCAACATGCAACCCCAACTCATCCAACCTTCCAAGCACATAATCCCTCTTCTCTTTAAAATGTTTTTGCAATGCCGTCGTGTCCTGCTTAACCCTCTCAGGCTCCAACAGTGGCACGGCAGCAACTTGAAGAGGATGGTTCGTCCCCCCATCCAAAAATGACCCGGCCGAGGTCATTGCGGAGATTAGTTCTTTGGGACCGACGATCCAGCAAACTCGCCAACCGGGAAGACGCCAGGACTTGGTGAGACCGTCGATGAGGACGACGGGGTCTTCGTTTACGTCGGTGACGTAGGCGGCGGCGGAGACTGCTGCGCCGGATTGGGAGGGGTCGGAGGGGTAGATGTAGCGGGAGTAGAATTCGTCCATGATTAGGCTGGTGGAAGTATTTGAGAATAGAGGAAGTCAGTTTCATTGCTGCGATGTTCCCCATTCTCTTCAAACGGGACTGAATCCGGTCTATGCGCGCAACTCACGTAGTGTGATGCCTCTTAGCAATTTCAATCCACTCGCCCAACTCTTCGCCTTGGACTAGTTGTCCAGTAGGGTTGGCTGGGTTAGACTTCAGCACAACACCCAACCCACGCGCAGAGATTTCGCGTTCGAGGAACTCGGGAGTGACGTGGTATGAAACGGTGGCATCGAGAGGTGTTGGGATGGGTACGAAGCGTTTGAAGATCTATCACAATGTTTCAAGAATACATTAGACATTGATTCTCCGTTTTTGAGTTTGTGTTGACGAAGATTTGCGATACTTACGGAAAGCAATTGCTCGTAAGCAGTATATTCTGGCAAGAAGAATCCAACGTTGGCGTCACCGATGGCAGCAGCGATACGCGTCAGACCCGCGCGACCCCCAGGAACGACACAGACGTTTTCCCAGGTGTATTTGGAGGGAAGACGTTGGCGGTATTCGACATTGTAGAGGTTGGCGATGGCTTCCCGCAGTTGTTTCACACCGGCGACGGGAGCGTCTATGTATTGGGAGTTTGTTAGATTCCAGCTGTGCATATGTGAGGCGAGGGGTACGAACATTCGAATTCATCGAGGTTGGTTGTGATTGTCATGGGTTTCTCGACTCCTCCGGGGATTTTACCGGTTTCTGGTGCGCCCTGTGATTTGTTTACATTTTCAATCAGGTTCCAGTACGGCTTGCAAAATGAATCAAATGATCGGTCCGTACCTGACCGAAGTTGCTCCACGCTGGGTCACCATGCTTCCATCCCTTCGTCGTTGCGCGATCAGTGCAGTAGATGACACCCGTGTTGGATGGTGCCTAACAGGTTAACGCAAGGTCAGTCGCAAGATCAAGGACTGTCAATGATAGATTGCAAATGTAATACACACCTCAAATGCATGAATTGCCCTTGTTTGCAATCTGTTATTTCCCGCTCCATGAGAGTTACCAAGAGCATCACGCAAGACTTTGTGAGGTTGTGAATCCCGCTCGGTAGTTTGAAGTTGTTGGACGACCTTTTCGGCGGCTTGGCGGAAGGTCCACTTGGCAGGAACGACGGAGACGCGCTGGGGGAAGCGGTGATTGGGATCAGCGTCCTGTATGCAAAATCTCTCGCTGTTGTTGTTGAGGGGGGAACACTTACTTTTGGAGCCTCTTTCGGCTGCTCCGCTTTTGCGGTGGAAGCAGCTGCTGGAGTATCCACCGACTTCCGGCTGGAATCACCTTGGAGGTCGACCGATGCGCGTCGGGTTTCGCGGTTCAAAAACTTGAACATAGTCGTTGCAAATGAAATGAAATAGCCTTTGGTGGATGATGCGGCGAAGGGTTGCAACAAAGTATATGTATATATATATATTTGCGCGTCAGCCAGCCTCCGAGGAAGGAGCATTCCACTGCAATGCGGCTGGATTTGGACAGAAAGGATGCCTTCCTCCCAGCCCAGGACCACTCACCACCAACGCGTGCATGCAGGAAGCTGGGCCCTGGCGCAACCGGAGGACATTTCGCACGTGCGTCATTGAAGGACAATTTTGTTACACATACGGAACACAGAAGGGAAGCCCGAGTTCTTTGACGAAGGACAGAAGATTCTAAATCTTGCAATCGTGGCTGATGCTTACGTCAACGGTCGACGGACGTGGCACAACCGTCGCACAGCATTTTCAAATTGACACCCACTGCAACCGCTCACCTTTGAACCCTCAAAGGGTCGCTTGACCTCCAGACTCTAGTGGCAACTTGACTCCATCAAAATCCAATCCATTGTGGGACATTGGTGCAGGGCCCCGCTGAATTGGGACGGCTAGGGGCAAAAAAAAAAAAAAGTGGGCCGAGCGGGGAATTGAACCCCGGACCTCTCGCACCCAAAGCGAGAATCATACTACTAGACCACACGGCCATAAAGGTTGTAACGATTTTTGAAATATCATAACACTAAAGCAAATTGGACTAAAAGACACCATACCACTACATCTTGCCAGGCGCGGCTCACGCACCTCATCAAAAGCCTTTCGTACGCTAATGTGATGAACAGTTGCACCTTGCCCTGGCTAATGATCATGCTGCCATAAGGTCCCCTGAAGCGCTGTATATATAAGTCCAGATCTTCAAAAAATCAACATTTTCTGGCCCGTCCTGCCATCAAACTGGCATCTCCAAGGCACTTGTCAATTGAGCAAGACAAAGCTAGATGTCTCTCCAGATGATATAGAACATGCTGCTTAAGAACACAATAGAGACGTATGGCCCATCCTTCGAAGCGGCAAGCGGCCAAAGGTCTGCCGAATCAACGCAGACTTTCAAGCCATCATATCTAAACTAATCAAGTAAAACATGTCGCCCACTGTGGTGGGTGCTTCACCGCGCCCTTGAGGCTGTGTGCAAGTGTGGAAACTTGAACAAACAGCAAAGTTTGGCGATGAACAATATTGATTGGTATGGCGGTGCAAGCCGCAAGCGCAACTCATTTCACCATCCTGGAAATGTAATCATGTACAGCATGCGATGACTATGAAGTCTTATTCTCAGTATTCTCTTGTTGGATTCAGATAGAGGGTCAAAGGTGTACGGGGGAGCTATCACTGAGATTCACATATTTCAAATGCCTAGCTGGCTTGAATCCGTCAGCTTGGGTCCAGCTTAATGTGCCCCATCTACATACATTTTCTGGTAGGATCAGTGATTTTTTCCTGCCTCGATATGTACACTGTTGTATTGTTGATTCAATGGCAGTCGTTTTGATGGATGGTTGCACAAATGCCTTTCATCGAGAGGCGGCAAGATACCACTGCCACCGAGGTGGACTTGTTACCGCAGCCTCTTCAACCTAGTATCTATCAGTCAGCACATATGAATGTTGTAAAAGGAGCACACGGGACAAAAAAGCATATTTTCAAATCCACGAGACTCGCCACGCCGCTACGTGAAATATGAAGAAACGGATTACTTTTGTCCCCGGTGAGTTTTGGTGACATGAATCTTCAATGACTTGTACTATTAATGGACGAATCACGTGGTGCCAAGCAAGATTGAATGTCTTGGAGATCAGATTACAACGCAACACCGGTCATGGCTTTTTGCATCTTTTGCCACATGAATAGAAAAAGGAAGAAGGGATCCATTGAACGAGAAATTCTCACTACCACACCTCGCATCGGAGTAAATGACAGACATAACTGGATACTGAATGAGGTTTGATGTCATTCTGCCAATGTCGTCGAGCTCATTTTCCCCCCCGCTCCTCCTCATACTTCCTGTCGTGGGCAAAAATAAGACAGAGTCAGACAGACCGTGCCGCATTCATAGATTGCAATGGCATATTCTCTGCCGCCTGACCTTGGAGCGATATGCTATTCAACTGAAGATCCCTTACCGTAGCGCTTTGTCCCCGTATGGGTGCATCATTCCTTTCAAAGTTACCAAAGCAGCTTACAAGGCGTAGCCATCCATGACATGGTGGTCCTGCCGATGGGCAGTTATCTCCAATGCTTCGTTTTCCGAAAGTGATCCGCATCTGCAAACATCTCCATCCTGGATGCAACGCGAGCGGGCAGCTAAAAGTACTCAAAAATGTCTCAAGACGGCCCGTTAACTTCCTTGTGAAGCTCGCTGATTGCAAGATGCCCGGGTCATCTGAATCAACTTTTTCAAAAGTTCAGAAGTTCTCTAAGTTCAGTCATACGGTCAGTGTTCGCGTGCCACCCTCAGTCGTCATCATATTCCTTTTCCAGCACCAGCATCTCGACTGTTGCACCAGCACGGCTTCAGGCTTCGACTCTGAATGCTGTTAATAACCATTGATGCCGGTAGGGTGCTCGTGCAAAAGAAGATTCGTATGAAAACGCCATCGCCAAACTTGAAGATGGATGCTCAATTCTCCATCCCCACTCACCTCAGGTGAGGCACTTGACGTATTTGAAGCCCACCCCGCGTTGGGCCGAATCTCAACCATCATATGACATTTTTTTCGGAACATGTATCATGAGAACGGCATGTACGAAGCTCTGCAGTTCACAAGGTCTTCTGAGGTTGCTGAAGTAGAAGGACCGTAATGTTCCCGCAACAGGCCCGCAACGCTTGACTGCCCGGATTGATGTACGAATTGGAAACAATTGTGCTTTTTTTGTGTCAAACCTTCAAAAACATAGACCTTTACTTAGGTGTACCGGCCGGCGGCATTTGACAGTCGGGATGTGATGAACCCAGTACACAAAATCAGTGGGTATTGTTGTGTCGAGAGCATTGGTATGCCATTCCAAGGGTAGGGCAGAGGCTTGCATATCAGGCCCATTGAAGGCCAGTAGAGCGGTCGGCAAATCAGCTGGTGCGTTTCCTTTTTTTACTGCGCTAGGTAATCGATTCGAAAAGAAAGTGCACAAGAAGATTGGCTAGGAATTTAACTGAAGCGTAAACTTTCGTCCTTCCAAGTTAGGATGCAGCAGTAGCACAGACATAAATAATCTAGACGCGTTGCCATCATGCTGCAAGCAAAGGCAGCAGTCAGCCGCGGCGGAAAAAGATTCTCACCGTAAACAATCAAAACACATTGAGGCAAGCAGGCCGCCCGGGCAATGAAATGTACCACTTGCACCTCGACGCTTGCCGTTGTGCTTCCGGGCGGGATAGTCAATGGAATTTCATTGAGGAATGAGTTGCAAAACCTGCATTTTATCTTGCAGTATACCGCGATGCGGCCGGCCTGTCCCGTGAATGCTGCACAAGCTTTGCTCTCTCCTCATCAGTACGCTTCCTAATCAGTTTTTGAAGCGCTCCTTCATTAATAGCTACCCGCAATGACTGGCATCCGATATCCTCAGAGAAGGGTACATAGCTGCTCGCAGGAACGAGCAGTTCCAATGGCTGCAGCTTACAACCTTATACCTCTTGGCCCGGTGAATCGATCGCTACAAATATGGCGCGTTTCGCATAAAGAAAGAGATTAGACTCAATCATGCTGCAAACACAGGGGCGATGGTGGAATGTCGGCGTCTAGTCAGCCTCCTTTTTGGTCTTGATAAGAAGAGGGGTGACTTTCTCAGTCATACAGTCCCGCGCACCTGATCTGCTTGCGATTTCCCTGACTCCACTCTGACTCTTGTTCTCGTCACCTGTTCCTGTTCAAGTCGCACCGAGGACTCGACCTTCAAGGCGGGTCCTGAAACATGTCTAAAGTGTCCAAAAAAAGGGCGCGGAGCAAGCAGCTGCGGAAACCAAAGCACGGTCTCTCGATCCGTCTGGGGTAAAGCTATGCCTTCAAGTACAGTAGTCGAGTTCGTCGTACGGTGAATACCTCAGCATTTGTTTGAAGATGGGCAGACCCGATGTCTCTGAAGTACTGCCAAAAAAGTGAAGACCACCGGAGCAACAATATATTGGCGCTACAGACATGCAGCATGACTTCAGCATTCCACACTCCCCTGAACTCCTCTCTCAATTCTAGATGGTAAAATGTCAGCCGTCCTTGATCATACTCAGCAATACTCTCTATGGCTCCGGTTGAGATGCAAATGTCATGCCTCGCTGGAATAACGAAGGTGCACTCTGTCAAGCAGACTTGAATCAAGATGTCCACTCGCGTCGTTGATTTCGTCTGGTTATGCTTCTGTATCTCTTTTTTTGGCGTCTTTTGCCAACTTGGGGAAGAAGGAACAAGCAAAACGTGTTATGCAGTCCAAGATGTTCCCAGCGCCATTGCATCATGAAAGGAGGGTCAACAACCGTGCAACAGTCGTGATGGACGAGGGGCGGTTCAATGCAGAGATTTTCACGTTGTCAGCGAAAAACAGAACACATCTCAGGCCGGGGTGAGAAACGATTCTGACTGGGAATTGAGCGTATCCAGAACTCTTGAGCGGCATGTGCATCATACTTGGTAAAATTTGATGAGGATCTCTTGCCTTGGCGGTGTTACTGTTGTTCGAACAATCGCTGGCTCCGGGCTTGTCGACCTTATTTTGGAACAAACGTTTATTGGTTTTAGAAAATACTGCTGTCGGGAGGTCCAGCACTGCGTTCAAGACGACTTCCGCTCATTTTTGTGAACCTCAGGGCAGTCCTATCGACTTAGACCGGCTTCGGTTAAATGACAAGCAAAAAAGGCAACGACGCACGTTCAGTGCATCAGATCAATGCTTTTAGACGGAGCACCACTGTCAGAGGACCATCCGTCTTGTGATGTCAATAATGAGAAAGTAAATCCGGTTCCACAACATTACACTCCCCGCCACGTGTGGAGGTCCTGTCCTCCCAACCGGACGTCTAGTTGTACTTGTCAGTTGCGGAAAGTGTGCCACATCATGCACACCCAATAATTTGCCAAAAAGTATGAAGCCGAAAACTGAAACCAGATAGGGGCGAAGACCGGATGGACACATGATTGCCTACACTCCATAGCAAGTGGTCACTGGCGCTTCCCATGGGCCATGAGCCAGCGTCGGTATAATTGACATTCAGGCCCGATGTGGTAGACTAAAACATTCGTGCGCGTTAAGAAGCAATCAGATATTGGAGTAATGTAGCCACATCCTTCACCGAAACATAATGGCGTACAGAACTGTATGTTTTTATGCTCCGGCACCCGGGTCGGATGCAGAGAACTCCGAGATGCAATGGAGACCTTATGTGATAAGCTGCCAAAGTAGTGTCTGGTACTGAGCGTTGCAAATAGAACGTATCATCCATTGTGTTTCGTGCTTGACCGGTACTGGTTCTCAATTTTTTTTGGATCTCGTGACCATAGACCATAGAAAAGAAAGCTAAAAAGAGGCATAACCTCTGTTTTGGTTGACTCAGGAGTACCTTTTCGTTGTCCAGATAGGCCCCATCAACTTCAATACTGCCAATTGGCAATGCAAGCCAAGCTTCAGCAGAGATGTCAGTGCTGCATGGGACCTTCTGTAG